TTTTTGTAAATTTATATTATTATCATTTTTTATTTTTTTATAAAGTTCGATGACGTCATCAAATATCATCATCATCATTATCACGATCGGTTTACGATATCGCACAAGAGAGAGAAAGAGAGGAAAATTCGAGAAAAGGGTTTAATAATGAGTCGTCAGAAAAAAAAAAAGAAAAAAAATATTGTTCAGATTAAATTTTATTAAATTGAAAAATAAAAAAAAAAAAAAAAGAAAAAAAATATTGTTCAGATTAAATTTTATTAAATTGAAAAATAAAAAAAAAAAAAAAAGAAAGAAATAAAATTTTCTTCTGAACGATAATTAATTTAATTTTCGTATATCATTACTACAACTAAATTGTGATGATTAATTGTCTGTTCAGAAAATTTTGTTCAGAATGACAATTATTTATAAATTTTCTTTTTCATTGTTATTTAATTTAAAAAAAATTAACACTCGGAAATAAAGAAAAAAATTTTTTTTTTTTTTTTTTTTTTTTTTACTGTAAAAAAACAGGGGGGGGGGGTTTGTTTGTTGTTGTTGTTGTTTGTAAGAAACAAAAATGGTTAAATTGGTTAAATATTCGAAAAACCGCAAAAACCAAAAATGTAAAAACTTAGTTTTTATTTAAATAAGACTGACCGACGGACCGACCGACCTACCAATGATAATTTAATGTTATCACAGTAAAACTATTTCACGTTTTGTTTTTTTTTTTAATAATTTTTTTTCCACCACGTGTTGTGTCCCTCTCGCCCTCCCCTCCCTTTCCCTTCTCTCTCCTCATATCCCCCCTCCCGCCTCTTCCTTCGTTCCAGTTCGGTTCATATGAATTATGGATAAAAATGAAATCGTTTGTTTGTTTTTCGTTTTTTTTTTTTTCATCATCGATAACGAAAAAAAAAAAAAATTCCTGTAATTAATTTACGATCTGGAATATAATAAAAATGATTTTAAAAAAACCTGGAATATTCCAGGAGTACGGGAATGAATGAAATTATTTTTTTTCTCCAGTAAAAACGAAAAAAAAAAATTCGTTTCTATTTAAAAGTTTAATATACGAACCCTTTTTTAAATTCCTACGAATGAAATTAAAATAAAATTTTAAATGATAATGATGATAATGATGATATTAATAATAATAATAATAATTTTACAAAACCTAAGGAAATTTCCTGGAAAAATTCAAATTTAATAATAATAATAATAATAATAATAATAATAATAATAATAATGTTAAAATTTAAGACAATTATTTCCCCATGGCTGAGAGAAAAACCGTCAAATTTTCATCGTCGTTCTCGTCGACGACGTCATCGCCGTCGTTCCAGTAAAATGAAAATGAAAACTTCGGTCCTGGAAAATGATTCTGGATAAAAGGTGAGGAAACGTATTTATTAATCCATAGCTCGCGAAAATTTAATAATAATAATAATAATAATAACTAAATTTAAAAAAAAATTTTTTTATCTATCGTCCAGGAAATATTAAGAACTCAAATTCCAGACTCCAGTAGAATATCGTCGACTCATCATTTTTTAATTATAATTTAATTTTCTGGAAAATGAAGTTATCATTATTATTATTATTAAAACTTTTTGATTTTTTTTTATTAATCCTGGAGAGGAAGAGAGAGAGAGACAAAGAAAAAAAAATTTATTATTTTTTTCATCGTCGCAAAAAAAAATTTCGAATCGTTTGTTTGTTTGTTTTCTTACAAAAAATTTACACGTTTTTAATTATTATTATTATTATTATTATTTAAAGATCAATTTCATCAAAAAAAATTTTCCAACAGAAATTCCAGGAGATTTTTTTTTTATAAACAAAAACCAATACGACGTCATTTCCTGTAACGATTTTTTATATCGAAAAAAATACTTTTCAATCTGCCTTTAAGTGATTTTTTAATTCTTCAGCGTTATTATATTTTCACGCGTGACGTAATTAATAATTCGCAAATGGGGAGGGGAGAAATAATAATAATAATAATAATAATAATAATAATAATAATAATAACAATAATAATATAAATGTAAACGCCTCCGTAAAATTTAAAATAAAATATACAAATTTCGTTTGTGTTTAATTTTTTCCGACGATAACGATGTTCGATCCGTGGTTTTAGAAAACAAAGTTTAAAGCTCGGAAATTACTATCATTATTATTATCATTATTATTATTATTATTTGTCCAAAATTTCGTTTCGATTTTTTCTATAAAATTTTTTTTTTTTTTATTTTAACATGTGAAGATGATGAAAAAAAAAGAAAAAAAAAAAGGCGTGTCAGAAATTGAATTTAATCATCGGGAGGGGGAGGGGAAGAATGAAAGAAGGAAGGAAAAAAAAAGATTTCTTTAAATTTTTTATATAATTAAAAAAAAAAAACGTGGAAGGAGAACAAGAAGAAGAAGATGGAAAAAAAAATGAAAAGTTAATAAATTATATTAAATTTTTTATATCATCGTTTGATTTTTCATTAAAAAAAAAAAAGGAAGACGAAAAGAAGGGAGGGGGCGGAGAGGGGATGCTGGAAAACGGTAACGAACGTAGGAGGAACTTACTTAAATTTTTTTAATTCTCCTACCACGCACGCATTCACGCATTCATTCTCGCAAGAATATTTTTTTACTTTTTTTTCTATATAAACCTTTACGAATTTTATCCGATTGACCTTTTTTTCATTTTTTTTTTAAGGTTTACGTACAACAGCACAACAGGAAATAATAAAAAAAAAAAAGGTTTCATACTTTTGAAATTAAAAAAGGGAGGAAGGGGGATGGGAAGGTGAGAGAGGAGTGGGGAGAAGGCGGGAAATATTTTTTTATTTACTTTTGTACTTTAACTACAAAGCTTTGTTTTTGTTTTTGTTGTTGTTCCTGCTGCTGCTGATGTTCCTGTCGTTATTTTTAATAATAAAGAAATTTTCGATACACGTCATCGACTACTAATCGAACTTGACCTTTTACTTTTTACATATAAAACTTTTTGTTCGAATCTTTTGAAACAACAACAACAGCAAAAACAAAAATGGCAACAGCTAAAGAAAAAAATTTTTTTTTACAAAAATCTTCGTGACGTAAGAAATAAATTTTAATAATATTTTAAATATTAAATTTATTATTATTATCATCATCCGATTCGTGTGATTTTTTTTTTTTCGTCTGCTACAAACAAACAAACAAAAAAAAATGGAATCAATCAATTCATTAACCTTCCTCCCCGTTTGTTTGTTTGTTTTTCGATTTCCATAAAAACTAATCATTTTTTCGATTGTGATAAAATTTCGTTTGACTAAAATCTTCCAGTTCCAGTTTTGATTTTCCCTCCATTTTTTTTTTTTATTTGATGTATCGTTTGTTCACCCCCCACCCCCCAAACAAATAATATATTTCGTTTAATTTTTTTTAATTATCTATCATTTATACATAACTGGAATTTATCATTTTTTTCCTTTGGAAATTTTCGTAAAATGTAATTTCAGTGAAATATATGGCGATATATATATAATTTTTAATTTAAATTTAGATTTTTTTTTTGGGGGGGAGAAAGTGATGAGGGATGGGGGAGATTTCATTTTTTTTTTTTTTGCTTTTTTTTTTGTTCCGCCCTTAATTTAAAAAAAAAAAAGGAAAAAAACTTCCTGCTGCTGTTGTGTTTTTCAACCGTAAAATATACAGAAAATTAAATTTTTTTTTCTTTTTTTTTTATTAAATACTAATTTACCCTTTTTATTTAAAATAATTTTTACGACTTCACAAAAAAAAAACGTGGAATCAGATAAAACAAAAAAAAAAAAAAAGTTAAATAAAATATACATATGATTTATATTTGAAAAAAAAAATTGAATAATTAATTTTTTTTTTTTGGGATATCCAACAACGTGAATATTATTTAAATTTTTTATTTTTATTTTATTTGCAAGTGAAAGAGTTTGCGTTTGTTGTTGTTGTTGTTATACTTCCTGATGATGGGAAATAGAAAAAAAAAATTGATAATGATTAAATTTTAAATTTAAAATTTGTATTGTGAGTAATGAAAAGTTAATAAAATTAAATAAAAAAAAAGAAAGTTGATTTCATTTTCCGCCGCTAGAACCGCCACCGTCTCCGCTCACTTTCAGCAACAACAATAACATTATTACGAACACCAAGAGCAACAATAAAAAGAACCACACAAAAGCCAAAAACAGCATCAACACCAAAACTAAC